TCTAGAATTTTAAGATGCATACGAAAAGAGACTGAAACGAAAAAATGATCGTTTATAGAGAACTGTAGAGTATTTAGGCGGAAGTCTGTTGCAGTTTCGCCCATTGCTTGTAGGATGTGTTCTGGATTTAGAATCAGATCATACTTCATCAAAGTCACTTCTTGCTGTTTATCAGCCGAACGAACGTACGTACGTACGTATTTACGAATGAACGGAAATTGCTCGCTCGGCGTATGATCCTTCTTTCAGTAGAGGGAATAAATTAGACATTTTCTAAATAATTTTTTTAATAAATATGATATAAAGATACATTTTTTACGATTAGAAATAGAAGATAAAAGAGAAACTCTTTTTAGAACATTTCTAGAAGCAAAAAATACATCGATATTTCGAATAAAATCTCACTAATTCATCAATGAAGAAATTTCAAAGTCTGATTGTTTTCATGTAAACACCAAACGTAACAATCGATACGTTAAAACGCGCTTTCACAAAAAAATGTGTCTCAACGCAGTTTTTGTATTCAACGCGTCAAAACACAATTGTAAAAGAATATTTTCTCATTGTCTCAATGCGTTTCATGTTGAAATGACGTTTATACGAATTAAGAAGCATTTGACTGAACGCGTTCAAACGTCATGTTACATGAAAGACGTTGATAAACTTAGGAAAATACTCGAAATGCGTCTGAACGTACCTTTTCTATACAACGCATTGAAATACAATTAGAAAAAAATCAACCGAATTTCAACATGTTTATTAAAAACATTTAACAAGTTTAAATATATTTTGTTTGCTAACTGCGTTTAAATGCCTCTCAAACATTTTTTCGGTCACATTGAGACGCAATTAGATTTCTGAGCGCCTTTATGCTCCTTTATTTCTTGTTTATCGGACACGATTTTAGCATTTTTGCATAACATGCCAAGATCTTTATGAGGTCTTAAGAGGCTTTCTGGAAAACCTTTTCTTGAAAAAAATTAGTTTTTTATATTGATTGATATTTGTGATATTTAATGGCCAGACTATTGATTTCATTCATGCTTGGCTATATAATTTGAATAGGAACATGCAGGATAAAAGTGTCAAGATATTTTAGAAATGCGTTTATTAATGTTAGTTTATGTTCTTATTTGATATTCTGCGATGGGATTAGACTGATTGTTTGCAGAGTTGGCTGAAAAACAGTTTTAATACGTCAGCATATGTTTGCTCTTGAGAATATGCTTCAATCGAACGCCAAAATCGCTGAAATAATTTTAAAGCAGTTTTTTGTTCGAAAAAATGTTTACGCGACACCAATATGAGTTTTAACATTTTTTCAAAGCTTTGATCAGTGCGCGATCGAACAAAAGCCGTTTGATTGCACCAGAGACCTTCAGTTGTGTTTAGTTCGCAATGATATTTAGGATAGTATATAATTTTGATGTCATATTTGATTGCCAACATTCCAAGTTTTGCAGTCTGAATGATAAAATAAACGATTTAGGATCGAATGTCTTGAGAAAAACTAGAAAGATTTTCACTTACGTTTTGGAAAGCTCGATGTGTTGAAAGTATTTCAATATTTTCATTTTATTTAATTTTCGCTGATAATTGTACCTCTAAACCTCTACATAGTTCAACCAAGCCTTTTGATCTACCTTTGTTATTTCCCTCTTTAAAATAACAATCAATAATTTGTGTTTTGCCATTTTCATCAACCGGACATCGAGTGCCAATGCTTTTACCAAAGTCTTGTAATGAATATGCTTTGGTTGTGTGAGTCCTTGCGTTGTCTATTATAATTTCTATTTGATTATCCTTGTAGTCTTGCTTAAATTCTAGCATTTGAAATAATCTTTCAAATTGTCTCAGAATTGTATCATTATCTAATATCGCTTACCAAAAGTTTTTCACTAAAGTTTAATTCTTTATCATCAGTATCCATGTGATAGTCATCATCCACCACTTCGCTTCCATCCGAATCATCAACGTCTGACGGGTTATTTGCGTCTAGAACATCTATGTTCGACGAGTCGTTTGCGTCTAAAATATCTACATTTGACGGATCATTTGTATCCGAGATCTTTGTTTTTGACCAACGACGAGCTCTTGCATTATGCAATTGGCTGCTTCTTTTATTTCCTTTAGCATACCAAACTAACGTAGCTCAAATGTAAATGAAATTATCTTCAAAAAATACATATAGTATCAGGAATTTTACTTATAGTATAGTTTTTGGGAAAAGGTTTTCCAAAAAGCCTCTTAAGACTTCATAAAGATCTTGAAACTATGTCCATTAGATTCTCCATCAGTTTTTACCTATGTAAACAAATTTTTACTTATTTTGGATGAGAAACAAGCATGTTATGCAAAAATGACCTCCCCGTTTCCAGTATCATACAGTAACATACAGTAAAAACGACTTTTATTGTTAATATTGTTGATGATCATACTTCATGAATCTGTAACTTATTCGATTAAGATGTGAAATTTAGCCAGATTAAATCGACTTCGAGCGACCTCTTCCTCCTCTAGAATATTATTTGCCACTATTGCTTAATCAATTCGCTTCAAAACTGACTAACGTAGTAGTTTTGTTGTTCTTGATATAAGAACGATTACAGTAGAAGATATATTTAACAGTACAATTTTCAACTGAGTAACTATTCAAAAATTATGTAGACAACTGCACGCATTATTCTTTCTCTCAGATAATTTCATGTACACTAATTTCGACTAAAGAAAATTAATATCACAAATGACTTAAATACCTTCTTACACTTTTTTTCTAAATTATTCTAGAAATTTTTATCATGGATATTGCTGAATGGACAACTTGTGAAAGTATTCGAGAGTCGTTCAAGGAACGATCGGTGCTCTTAATAGGTGATTCATTAGTCAGATGTCTTTATAAAGATATCTTATGCATATTATCTGGTCATGACAGATCCAGTTATGACAGATCCACGTCATGCATCTTTTCGATTTTGCTCAAAAGAAAAATCATTCACCATCAAATAACAACAAGAAACAACACGAGCAGAAAAATTTTCATAAAAACATAAAGCTTTCTGAACAAGAGGCACAAAATTTTGGGCTAGCCTTCGGGAATGCCTGGTGAACGGAGAATTAATAAAAATATTTCCTTTTTCCTTCGTTTTTTATTGCTCAACGTTTTCAAAAAATAAAGTTTATTAAAATTCTAATAACTTATGAGAAACAATCTTGCATAGATACAGGCTTTCCATAATAAATAAGTGAAAAAAAGAAAAGAAAAATATTTTAAAGTTCCCTCGTCGTCCCCCTTTGCTGAATCTGAAAAAAATATTATGCTCAAAAAAAAACGAAAGAAGTAGAAAATTTTGCACATTTCTGGGATAAACACCTGTTTTTGATAAAAATATTGGTTTTTGAGTATATCGGATTTTTGGACCAGAAGAAAGCCTTCGCTAAAAATAAGGACATGATATTCGTGATCAGCAGCTCGAGTTCTATCAATTGATGTATAAAAAGCCAAAAAAAAAATTATTTACTCGAATTTTGCTTTGCGGGCACCTTACTTAGTCAATAAATAAAGATTTTTGCGTATAGATTTATTTAAAGTGCACTGTGGAAAACTCTAAATATCTCGAGATAACATTATTCTCTTAAACAAAAAAGTGTCTTCTTCTTAGATTACAATTCAATTTGAACTAAAGGAAAAATAAAAGACTTCAGTCTAATTCTGATCGTTCAAATTTCAATCATAATAAATGTTGATTGAATCATATCATCAGAAGAAAAGTGTATCACGCACAACTATCAAAATGAAGTTTAGTGCTGTTTCCATGTAAATATTACAATAGTTTATTTCGATCATAAAGCATAATAGAAACTGATTGTTATCTATCTTCAACTTTTATTTTTAACTTGATTTCGTAATTATTTTGTACACAGGTGAAGTTACTCGCTAATTTGCGTCATATCAGAACTGTTTCTCTTAGAAACTTATGTCCAAGCTCTTATTCTAGGTTCGAGTATCACTCAACTATGTCTATCCCATGAATTAATCAGATGTCCAACAGCTCCAACTACAAGAATAATATGTGACTGTCATTCGCTCGAAAAATAATCTAGTTGAGTTGAAATTTCAATATTATAGCATTGAAATTCATTAACATCTAGATTTCTCAGAACTGTAATATATTAACTTATCAATTGTTCTCTTTGGAATTGTATTGACAAGAATAAAACTTGAATGAAGAAATTTCATCCTCTGCTATTGGTTATGAACAGCTAGCAAGACAAAAACTGCAACAATAAACACATTTATAGATAGATCAAGATCCTAAGAACCGATTTTGGGAACGCGGATAACGTTCAATCTCTTGATAAATTTATTTTTGCAAATAATCATTTAATAGAAGTTCACATTTCACTTAAATAAGCTTGTCTCATTTGGCGTAATTTTACGATGAGCTTTTCGATGCCTTTGACTGTTTTTTCATTTTCGAATGTCACCCGTTTACTTCCATTAGCCCAGTTGATTTGCACCCATTCTGCTCCACCATCCGCACAATCAGGACATCCAATTCTGTCATCTAATGATTGAAAGGTTTCTAAATTAACGAGATTGCTAAGATTGACCCATTCACTCGAAGATAAGGGAAGTGTTGCATAAACTGGTGGATAACTTGCTTGATTAAAGTTTGCCTGTTTTAAAATACTCACTTGAAGTGGAGTGGATGTCATAGTTATTGATTTACGACAATAGCCCATACATTCTCCAAACGAAGTTCCACTGGAAATTGATCGTATATTACTCTTCTCTACATTTTCGCCATCCACCACCAATATCAAGAGCAAAAGAACAACGATAAGCCAATAAACGAACTGCATTGTGTATCAAGTTTTTTACGCCTAACAAGTAATCTATTTTGAGGAAACAAATCAATATATATTTTTTTTTTGCCACTGATAATAGTAACAGGAAAGTGAAGAAAAAAAACCGAGGTCTTCCACACGAAAAATAACACCTGTGTACATTTGCCCATTTTTCAAGGACAAAATATAATACAAGAATGCGATATTTATTGTTACAATATTCGTTGAATACACTGTTTTCTTTCCGCATATTTAATTATGTTTTTGACATTAAATAAATTGTAGATTCATACATGTTTACACACCATCACTTCTCATTTCACGAGATTAAATTCGAATAATGCTTGTATTTGTATTCACTCAAAACTTTGAAACCTGTCTTCTCAAATTTTAGCAACTGAGGTGTTCCTCCTCCTATAGACCGAAAAAAATGGATTATTTCTGGTTGCATAGAGTGCTCTGGGCTAATTACAAATATTATCAGACGATTAGATCTGTTTCTCTACCTGTAATAATTTTATTCGATATAAATCATATAAATAGACATCTATGGCTGCATTTTGGGAACGGCGAATATCGTAAAAAGGAAACGATGAACTAAGATCCAAAAATACTCTTAAAAATATTATCGAAGCACATCAAAATGTTGTCTGTGCTTACCCAGGTCCACTGTCACGCGTCATTCGCGGCGCGATCGCGGTGTCGCTACCGCGATGCCTATGATATCCTGCATGTCGCGGCGCGATCGCGATGAAATCTTATATTCGCGTCGCGATCGCTATAATATGGCGAAGTCGTGGCGTGATCTTGATCAATTCTTATTTTAAAAAGAATTTTTTTTTAAGAGTCGGTGCGCGATATGCAATCGCGTCGCGATCGCTATAATGTCGCGACGGGACTCTGAATTCTGCATCAATTCGATTCAGATAGATTTCGAATTCATATGGGTTTTTATTTAGCGCAATCACTACCATATCGCTATTTCGCGACGCGACTCACGTCAAGGGATTTTATTGA